CCCTAAGTCTCCAACGAGGTCACTTTGAAGGTCCTGGCAGTCGGTTTTCATGTCGATCATCGTTACTCAGCTTTGCTTTGCTTTGAGCTTTGTCATGCTGTTCAAGTATCACAGTATCAACCAGGGTGGCAGATCAGCTGACTGCGTCCCGTGCGTGCAACCTATAAATCCAGGGAAAAATACATGGAAATACTATGACTATCACTGTCCATACTGTTTGCTCATTTTCTTTACATTAAATGCAGGGTTTCCCGGAATTCACCTGTTTGAAGTTCCAATGGCCGCTCAGTGTCGCCCGTCCCAGGCATGAACGGCACAAGCTGGTTGCCCAAGAAGCTGTGAGATCCAAAGAAACCTTTTCTGAGTTATATAAATATATATAGTAGAAAGTATGTTGAAAAAAGAAGGTACTAGGGGCTCCTGGCCGTACTACTAGGAGCAAGGACGCTACTTAGGAGCGATCGGACGCTACGTTCAGGGCATTATATAATACCTTGAGTCCCAGCCCTGGAAGTCCAAGACTAAATTGTCAGGCGCTGACCCTTTCTTTGGATCCCATCGTAGAGTCAACCTTGATTTCTAGCGTTGGCGTTGCACTTATAGTCACTGACGTTGCTTGCTTCTTGCATGTTTTTGTCCTAGTGGGAATGTCTTTATAAACGTGTTCTAGTGGACCTTTTGTCATTTCTTGTGTTCGAGGTCCCTTAGGCACATCCAAGAATCACACCATCGAAGTTGCACGTCCTCGGTCGGTCTCCCACTGCTTTTTGCTCTCTTGAGCTCCTATATGATCATATATATATATATATATTTAAATCAACGTAGATGAACCGTGGATCTGCCAAGTTCTTCGTAGGTTTCGTATGTCAAAGTCCGGCAGCTGGACGCCCCAAGGAGATGAAGGGGACGCGTCCCTACTTCCGGCCTTTTCCTTTGCTCCGTGTGTGTTTGACTGGTTGCGCTAAGGAAGAATCCTCAGATTGCGGCGGGCATCGTCACCACTGGCTCCGACTTCGAAAAGATGTTACACAAGATGTTAACCTACGAGTTTTTGGGCAAGGAGGTGTTGTCTGAGACTTGGTCCGAAGGTCGGATGAATGTGAGATGGCACGGACAAAATATATATAATCCTCGCTCACCACTGGGTATGCTCGGGTTTGATTTTCGCCAAGAGATTATAAAGTCTTATATATCAGTCCTGATTGTTTTTGTCTCAGAGGTACTGATTTCGGATCACTTTTGTGAGGCATCTATCTCAGCACGCGCCAGTCATTTTTTTTTTTTTGGAAGCCAGAGAGTTGGGTGATGCACGCGCCCAGGAGATGGAGCGGGACTGGTCGGCCGCACCCGTGTCACCCTCAGGTGATGGCTGGTTCGGACACTATGGCCGCTGGGATGTGGAAGGGTTCGGTTGCGGGGGGCTGAGGATCAATGGAAGGAAAGATGTGAGCAAGAAGAGAAGAGGTCTGAAGACCATATGTGAGAAAAGAAGATGTGAGAAGATGTTGGACATCCGACAGCCAGTGCATGTCAGAAGTCATGTCAAGGTTTGCGAGTTTATGAGATTGACACTGACCGGAACTGTACTTGATGTAATTATATATAACATAGATTCAACTATAGCAAATCTTCCAGGGGTACGTGGATTGTTGACATGTGAAGTGAATCTGAAACTGGATCCACCATGATCCACTTGGTCGATGTAGGGTAACCTGCTATTTCTTCAGCCAACCAGCAGGATTCATCTAACATGTGTTTTCAGAGGTGATCATCTGGCTATTTGGCAGGGTCAGGGCACGAGGGTCGGTTTTGAAGCAAACCTCTGGCGAAATACATAGAAATACTGTAAGAACCCTGCCAGATTTGACACGATTCTGTTTGAGTGGAAACCCTGCCAAATTCAAACCATTGTCCATAAGGTCCTTTACCGAACCATTCGGATGTCCGTCCACGTCGGTGGACAGCCACAAAACCAGGTTCAGGCGGTGGACAGCGTACGCAAGCTTCGTTTCTCGAAAGGGGATGGGGTTCACCTCCCCCACAACCGTTCAGGAACCCCATTAGAATCCCTATCCTTGAGTCAAAAGCCGAATCCAGCGTATGCTCCAACCACCTCCGTTTCGAAGGTGGTTAGGGGGGGGTTCGGGGGGTCTAACCACCTTCTGAGGATATGGTTGGAGCCCTAGGGATATATCAAGGCTTGCTTGGGATCTCGGTCTTCTGGCCGGGCCCACAAGCCCGGCCAGCAGCAAGGCCGTGGTGTTTTGGATCGAAACGAGTTCGTCTCCTGTTTCGTCTCCCCCGCACGGACCTTTGGAAAGCCACCCGTGTGCTGTTTGGAGACCTTTCCTCAAACACCAGCCCATCGGACCGAAAAGCCCTTTCAGATCTGTTCCTCCTTTTTGCTCCGCGTTTCTTCGAGGAATGGGTCATTGGTTCGACTGTATGGGCTATGCAGCTGGTCAGGGCTCTGCGGGCGCCTCGGCGCCTTTGTCCTCCTGGTGCCAGGCGCGTTGTCGCACGTTCTCGCTCCCGCTGTGGTGCTCGCACGGCTTCGAGGACATCGTAGGACATCCCTCTTTTGGAGGGAAGACATCCCGGGGCGCTTTATTTTAGTGATTTTTGGGTCAGAACACCTTCCCCAAAATGCAGGGTTAAGTTAAATATGTGGAGACGCTATTATGTTGAGATATGTTGAGGTTTCGATGTTGTTTCGACTTGGTGAGTCTTGGTACCTGATGAAGTGGTACCTGATACGAAGCAAGAGTCTTTTTGTTACCAAACCATGCATGCAGGGCTGCGTCTTTCTAACTTGGACGTCTTGCAGGAGCTTCCCCTGATGCCTTCAGTTCAAAGAATTCCGGATCGGCATGTATAGAGAACAAAGCACCAGGCGAATACAAAGTTTGGAGGTGGGAGGCAACCAGATTCATTCGAAGCACGAGGAATTTCCAGGAGCCAAAACTCTGCTCCGGATGTGCCTGAAACATCACCGAAAGATCCAGTTGGGCATGACCCCCAGTTAGACAAGAAAAGATGTTTGTTTGACGCATGTGACTTGGCAACCCACATCCCCAACAAACGTGAGGAATGACTGCCTCCAAGCATGTCAGGCCGAAAGCATCCAAGCTGGTCCAGGTGCCTTTGGCTTCTTTCCATTGATCGATCGATGCTTGGGCGAGAAGAGAGACGGCACGGTTCGTCGGGGACGGGGGGGACTTGTTGAAGACAGAAGTTCTGCACCACCAAGGGATATCCCACAACTACGAGGGCTTATGCTGCTGGAGTGACACTGAATCCTTTCCTTCAACTGCATAGTCTGCATAGTTTTATCAGGATTTCTGGAATGAGCGAGAGTGTTACGGATGCTTGTAGATCATATACAGCACTATATAGCATCTCCTTAGCATATGTTTACTTATCTAGCTATATTTGGTAATCTGATCTCCTTTATCTGAAGCGTGCTTGGACACCATGTAACGATGATCTCAGGAAAGAGAGGCTATTACATGCAGATCGTTCTCAAGGAGGACACCGGGGGCGGGCCTTTTGAATTAATCCGGTCCACCTATTAAAAAGCACGCCCCCCCCCCCGCAAATAAGGAAACCTCGGTCGCATAGTTTTAAATAGGGGTCCCTGAAATCGGGGGGTCCAAAATAGGGTCACCTGCAAAGAGCTTCAAAACCAAAAAGTCACCCAGGCAATTTTTGTGTAAAATCATTTATTAAACTCGTATAAAACAATCAAAAAACCTCCAGATCGAAGGGTCTTCCTTTTCCCCTACAAAAACCTTTGTTAGAATAGTGATTCTTCAGTAGACTAACAACTAAAGCTTTCAAAAGGTGATGTCGCTGTGCCATGCGGTTTTGCATGATCTCGGTGGCAAGTGGGTTTGCGTGAGTCCGTGCCATTGGGGGAAGGACAGCCTGCTGGTGTAAGCGCGGCGTGTCATGGTGGATAGACAGGGCGGACAGAGGTGGGCAGTTAAGGTTAATTTAAAAACGAATATGAACCGTATTCAGGGGTTTCCGACATGACCTTTTTTTAATAGGTGTACGTTTTTTAATGGGCACTCGGGATTGAGGGGTGAATTGGCAGGGCCCCGCGGGAGGACGGGTTTAGAGGCGGTGGCATGTTGGCACTGTGCATGGTCAGCCACCACTGTGCATCCTATCCAAATGCTGTCAAAAGTCAGCTTGTGAAGTGTATAAGTCTCAAAACATAGCTACAAGAAGCTACAAGAGGGCATCACTACGAACGGAGCAAGGACACTACTAGGGGCTCCTGACCTTACTACTAGGAACAAGAAGCCTCCAGTAACAAAGGGCATCTTAGCTGTTGCCAGCCCGGAGGGAGCGACGCCAAGGCGGTTGCACGGCCCGTTTCAGCGAACGAATAGGACGGATGGACGGTGTTTTTCCTTTCCGGGAAAAGGACGACGAGAAGATGTACCACATCGTTCTATTGAAGATGTCGCTGCTCTCTGTCCCATTCATCAAATCAAACCCTCCAGCAGCTTCGTGCCTTCTTCAACTGTCATTGAATGCCTTAGAAAAGCGTTAAATCGAAAGCAACAAGAATGTTCAATGACCGGCTACCGTTTTTCTTCTCCACTCAACACCGTTGTTCTTGCCAAAAAAGGCAGCTTCACACCTGCTGCCGCTGCACCTTTTCAGTGACCCAACATAATCACCGGATTAGTTTCATCCCTTAAACATATTTACAATCATCTACATATACTTAATTTTAATATCTACGATATATTGATATTTAAATGGCATAATATACATGGCTAACGTAATGCAGTTCTTTTTTGAAAGCTGAGCCATGGCTCTTTTCAGACCCTCTTTTTCCCGAAGGATTCCAAGTGCCGGAGCGAGGTGCCAGAGTCGCTTGGCTGAGCGACCAGCCCTGGTGCTGCTTCGGGTGATGGTGATTCCATGATCTACCCAGGCCGGTAAATTTCCTTCTTGGAAAATTGCAAGGGCTTCGCCCGGGTGCCGCCGACCCCTTTTCAGGAGGAGTGTAGCATGTGTAACTAAAGGCGTTTGTGCAGTTCCGGTGGTTGCCCGTCTGTGGAGAGAAGGTGGGCGTTCTAGCCTTAGGAGGCTGCAGCTAGGGAGTGCAAGTGCTATGCACGGTCGTGGTGGGCTGGGGGTGCTGCAGGGGCAGTGGTTTGGACAGGAACATAAGCAAATCCAAGCCAGATGTCATTGGGGGTGAAATTGAATTCTGAATCCTCCTTGAATATATTTTGGCTCCGTAGAAAGCTTACAGCCACGTGGATACCAAACAACAACTCAAGCTATCGAGGTTCTGTATGAAATTGTTGAGGCTTCAGGACGTCTTGACAAAGCAACATGAGAAAGAGTTGAGCGGCCGCATTTAGATTGGAAAGGGAGGCAATGGGAGACACGTCTCAGGTAAACTTTAAATGAATGTACTCTCACTCTCGGGGTGGTTTTGGTTTTTCACACCGCAACTGGGCAGGGAGGTTCTGCTCTGCACTCTGTTCATCTCTTTTCCAGATATGGCATGGCAGCAAAACTTTGGTGAAAGAACTCCAGTGAAGTAGTGTCACGAGGACTTTCACTTGTGCTTAGACTCGACCTGGAATGTCAGCGAGGACCACCAATGTTTGGAGCAAGGGGCACAAACCCTTGGTTCTTGTTTATCTCTTCCTGGAGCTAACATGGAAGTGGAGAATGGTCCCTTGCAAGACCATTTTCCATTAGGTGGTTTTCCACTTCCATGTTAGTTCCAGGGAGGGTATTTGTTTTTCTTCTGGGAGAAATTTCATCCTAAGTCCAGTCCTCGCCAAGTTTCATAGCAACTCTTTCCGGCTTGGCCAACATCATGTACATGTAGACTCTTGATGAATATAACCACCCAGTAAACCACCCATAAATATATGTGATTGCAAGGTGTTGAAATATGATCAAGAGTTTACATTACGGTGTCGCTGGAAGTCGGTTCAGGAAGACTGCGAACATCAATGACAGAACAAGTTTGCGTCATGTTTGTCCAAACAATCGTGGATTTGCAGTACATCGCCGTTTGGTATTCGACAAATGGTCATTCTTACGGGGCCATGCCATGCACTTCCAAGAATAAGATCAGGAGTGTAACCACATCAGAAAAAAAAAACAAACAAACAAACAAACAAACGCTCAACCGGTTTGAGTCAAACTCCTTGACGAGACCATGCGTTGCCACCGACGTTCACCGTGTGTGCCTAGTTTGAACATGTCTGAACAAGGGAGGGGTTGTGCGTCAGATTTGTTGAGTCTTGGGCGGTTGGTTGTGTTGAGCCATGCGTTTTCTTCCCATGACTCCTCATTTAAGTGCACTGTAATACAGATCGATCAGCTGTGTAAAAAGAAAGGTGCCCAACCCAACCGACTTTCCTTTGGACCTAGTTTGGGAAGCATTCTCAGCTCTACCCATGTAGCCCCCAACCATCATCCCCCGCTGCGCGGCTCGCTCCAACAAGAAGGCACTTCTTCCACTCGAAAGGTCCACTCCGCGCCACGTGCGCCGCCTGCGCCCATCTCGCAGTGCCGTAGACCGCCCCATCTCCGCCCCCGCTGCAAGGTACTTGTGGATCTTAGCGAAGCCTTTGGTGGACGCCATCCTGAGCCATGAGCCCATCACCGAACCGGGGCACCAAATGGTGTGAAAAGGGGGGGCGGTTTAAGGCTAAGGGTTTGCAGGGTTGTGCATTTGTAATTTGTTAGTCATTCATGGATGCCTTCCCAAAAAATGACTTGCCTTCGTGGTTTCATATCTGGAACAGTGAAGAACCCTTTTCTTGAAGCTGACTCACATATACAGAAAATCCCTCACTCTGATAGATAGTGCATGCTGCAAACATTTGGAATCTTGCGACAGATACCAGGCCTCGCCACATCCAGAGGGCCCCACTGGGCCCATGTTTACGCCCTTTTTGTTGCACAACATTCAGGTACCAAGACCCCCAGGAGTTGGGTGGTTAATGGACACCCCTTAACATCTGAGGGGCTATATATAGACACCCCGACAGGAGGGTCCTGGTATAGACCTTATTCAAGACGATGTGAAACATTTTGACATTTGCTACGCCTTTCCGAAAGGGGTTTGAGCTCGGCCTTCGCCTTTCCTTGGAGTCAGAGCTTCCATCCTGAGTTGATCGGACATCCGGAGGGAGAACTCCTCCGTTCAGTTTCAAGACTGGACCTCCGAACTCCCTCCCCAGGAAGTACGTGGATGACCAGGTCACCTATTTGGGGGAGATGACCAGGACACTCCACTCAAACATGAACAGGGAAGGCCATACCGCTCCGCAAACTTACATGGAACCTGAGAATTCACCATATTCATACATCCAAATACCAACCCAGTGGTTTTTATGGTTCCATGTGCTTCTTTGCAGGGTTTTTTGTTGCCACTGTCGGTTCTTCCGTTGGCTCGAGGAAGAGGGCCTTTTGCAGAGCTCCTTGGAACGAACGTGGACCGTTGACCCCGTTGGTGGAGTTAATGTCTCAAACCAAAGTGTTTGAGGCCACCACACACTATATACATGTATACACATACACAGATCATATACATGTATACGGTATACACACCATAATTTTTATATATACATAGTGCATTGAAGCAAGTTGGGAAGGACCCCAAACATCCCTAATTCTGTCTCCGTATGAGCATCTTCCACACCCGCCGACATTGTTTACCAGAAGTGCTGATTTCCATGTGCCGCAACTACAACGGTTACATTACGCAACATACCAATGGAGTGGCATCAGCCCCAGCCTGGAACCAATCTAGAACATGCTAGAGCCATTGGTTAGCTATGGTCTTGTGTGATAGTGATGTGGTCAGCCGCATCACTCAGAAGACTTTGCCGAACAAAAACGGAGGTGAGATCCAAGTGAGGGAAACGTAACGTGTTTTCGCCCAGCCTACTTTCCTTCCGTGACGAAAAGACAAGGGGGTTTGGAGAGGTTTGTGGCTTCAGCAGAGGCTTCCCCCTTTCAAGGTTGTTATAAGGCCGAGGGCTGTTAAAATTCACAGATTGATTAAAGGGAATATCTACCGGAAACCATGCTTCTCAACCCTCCAAACTATGGGCTTCCTGTTGATACTTGTATTTCCTTAAACCAATTCTGGTGTCTAGGGCCGGAGTGGGTCCCTTGAAGCAGGCCCGTTCCAAGGCCAAGGCGGATTGCTCTTGCGCGAGATTTACGACATCTACAAGTCTTTGCCACCGAGATGCTTGTCGTCTATATGCATATAATATATATATATAGAGAGAGATAGATATGTACATTGTAATTATCGTCTACAAACACAATAGAATCTGGAGGAGGAATAATATGAACGATGGGAGAGGGGAGCGCCGTGAGCGGTGCATTTTTCAATGAACATGATCATGTGTGATCATATTTATTGTTTTATAGGTTGTCTTTAGACAGATTTATGTGTCTGATGTGTCAGCAAAGAACCTTTGCCAGGATCTGTTTGAAGCATTTGTCAGCATTTGGCATCCTTCAAGGATTCAATGTAGAAAACATATTCATCTGTAGTTGAGTCTCCTGTAGCAAAATCTGCTTCGCTCCTCAAACAGCCGTGCAATCCGAAGACATGAGCTACGACGACTTCCACGAGATTGTGAATGGTTTGTTCTGCGGGAGCATTGCTCCTATTGCGCTGCCATTGCCACGTGGATCCTTCAACCTCCTCACCTTTCACGTTTCCCATGAGGGAGCTTGCCGGAAGGCAGACTAACCTGGTCCATGCCTTTGACACCATCCGGTACTTTCAGGGTGGGATCGACATGTCTGAGCTCAGCACTGGCTACAAATTAAGACATGCGAACTCAAGGACCTGCAGTATTTTTCCGCTCCCTGTGGTCATGGCTTCCATGCAGCGCACCTTTATCTATCAAAAGATGGTGCACGAGAACATGGGCTTGCTTAGAGAACACGCCACCTTTCAAGTTTACTACACTACACGCCCTCTGTCTGATGAAGTCTGAGAGCCTGCGCACGGTGTGTAGTATATAGTAATCGGTACTGACGCTGTTTGTGCTCCTTCTATCAAAAGAGCGCCGAGTCGTTGTCAGGCTTGTGTAGGCTGTGAATAACACAAAGGCCGTGTAGTCTGCAAACCTGGCCAATTGGGATTTTTGAGTCTCCAAGGAAATCAAAAAAAAACAACATTTCTGCTCAGGCAAACAAAGTCCTGTCACAACTGTTTTGTTGTTCTTGTTGGGTTTGCTTGTGGAAAAGAAGGTGAGGCAAAATCAATGTCTTTTAGTGGCACAGAAAGCAAGGATGCAAAGAAAGCAGTGAGAGAGAGAGAGAGACAGCGTTCAACTGATAGAAGCCAAACACAGATAAGACCACACAATGCAAGAGCGCTCCTTTCTGGACCTTTCGCCACATTCTACTCCAGGATAACTCTACAATACTCTACTCTACATGTCAGTGAGTAAGTCAGAGATTGCGCCGCATGCAGACCTGGGCGTTGTTGAACACAGGTCGCCAGTCGCCCAAAATCTAAGGATGTTGGCCTTTGAAAGACGAGGACGGCCACATTGACCCACAGGTATTTCAGGTCTGATGTGGACGAGCTGCACATGTATATCTGATGCGGTCTGATGATGAAAAGTCGTTGTTCAGGTCTACCCCTTGCCTCGGAGACCCTCAGCACCCTCGTAAAGTTGGAAATAGAGGCTGAGACGACAACCACCTGTGCAAAATGTTTGGCAGTATGAGGGTCGATGTGGTCACCAATGTGGTCGTTTTCTTTCTGAAGGGGGTATTGGATGTACATTGCTTCTCTTTATCTGCAGAAAGGCGAGCCTTTTGATGCTTTGCCCACTTGGGGCGAGTCTGTGCAATTGCGCCTGTGAAAAAGCGAAGCGATTGGCACATGTGAGCATGGTGGGCCCAGCGGCCCTTTGAGCATGGGTGGGTCAAAACAGGGATCCAGATTTTGTTGGCCAATGCAAAGAGCGAACAGTTTCATTGGTACTTCAAGCCTTTCCGGCACTCCCCAGATATGCAAGCTATGCAAGGTTCTATAGGTTTTGGGAACGGTTTGTTAGTTTCATTCCCAGCTTTGTTGGCCATTGACTTGTGACTTGCTACTTTGTTGGCCATTGCCAAACCCGCTTGCTACAGAATGATTCAAAACCCATCCTTGGCACTTCCGCACCGGCTCCGGTTTCGGAGGCGATGGGTATATTTTCCTGCAACTGGCAGGGGGCCCTGGGGGGTCCTGGGGGCGGGGACTGTGGAGAGATTCATGTCTTCTCTTTTTGGGCGGTATGCTCCTGTTTGAGCCCTGTGAGGGTTGTTGATATGTTTGTTCAATCTGCACCTTATAGAAGGACCCCTCTAGCCACGTGCATTTAGTTGCACTCTACTGACTCTACTGGCCACTGGCGACCAGACATATACTGTAGTACTGCCAAACACAAAACACGCATTTCTATTCGAAGCCTTTCCTTGCTGGGATGTCCTACAACAGTTCTCCAATACAACCCGGCTAAGGCAAGCGGAGAAACATGACATAAGCGATAAAATCTTCAACATTGACTACCTTTTAATCGTCATTTAGATATAGACATACATATATACGTACAATTCATTACAATACTTAAATATATATGTGTGTTTTTTGTCATAAAGTGCATCGTATATCATAATATGCATATATATACTGTAACATAAACACACATAAACATGTATGATAGTTCTCCTCTTCAAACCCAGCTGGCACCTCCTTTTCTCCCAGGTGGCACCGCAGTCCTTCCCCGAGCTGCGGGAGGTGCGCGGACATGCCGAAATGCGGTGGCCCAAACCCGGTGCACCGGTACTCATGGGGAAGATATCTATGAAGATGGAAGAAATGCCCAAAACCATCTCGAAAATCATGACAGATCACTGGCGAGAAGAGACTGACAAATGCGGTTTGCAGCATCACTGGTGAACTTTGGCATTCTACCGGTAAGCCGTTTGGTGCACCTTGTTTTGAAGGAGTTCGACCTGGTGGGACAGCGAGTGCCTACTGTAGGTCGTTGGGGGGCCCCCGTGGGAGCCACGGGTTTTGTTTTTTTGAAGCGAAAAGAGTATAGGGGCAGATTTAAAGGGAAGCAGCAACAATAACAACAATGAAGGCACAGTGATTTTGTCTGCAATATGATTTCCAAAGAACGTAAGATTTGAGGCTCGAGGTGGCCGTATCTATTTTGGTCTTTGAACAACTGTTCTTGTTTCCTTCCATTTTGCAATTTCACAATGCGACATTTCATTTAAAAACAAACTTTCACTTGCTTCATGGCTTATCACCTAAACTATGCGGTTTCAGCCCACTTCACATGTCTCCTACAACCGTCTTCCGCAGCAAGCATTGTGGATAGCCGCGGCATTTTCCGACGGTCCTCCCCGAACGCACCCTCCTTTGCCAGGTGACCTTGAGGAGGTTGGACATTCCACAGGATTCCACCTTGGCCGGGCGCTTTGCGTGGCGCGAGCTTTTCGCGGCGCGCCACGCGGACGCTGTTGAGGGTCGAGCGTGCTTCTCACAGAAAGAGAGGACAAGACGAGGTCTTCCCAATGATCGCAGGGTGGGTTTCCCTGGCAGCGCTGTGATGTGTTCAAATCATTGTTGTTCTAGGACAGGGTACGGGAAGATTGCAAGCTGTACAAGTCTCTTTACACTGCCGAGGCAGCAACGTATTCACCGACATGTGGTTCAGGTCTCCCTGCAAATGTTGAGGCCCACATGACAGATGCACTGCTGCAGCTACGCTCGGTGGTGGCACACTCAGCCTCATGTAGTGAGTTCCGGGGAGCTCGGTGGCATGGGGTTGGGTATAAGCAGGAGCTTCCTTCCTGCATGGAAGCAGGTGGCCTCAGATGGTCCTGCAGGTGGCCGAAAAGATGAGAGTTTGGTGGGTACCCCCTGGATGGGTTTTCGTCTTCGAAGTACTGGATCCAGAATCCTTTTGATGAGTCTTAGTGATTAGATTAGTCTTTGCAGTTGGTTCCCAATCATTGGAAACTGCGATTTGAACTGTTACCTGGAATCCTCTAAACTCGCTTTCACGTTCAATCCGTCCATTGTTGGACGGTCCAATCACAACAAATACATGGGTGGAAACTCTCGTGAATGACTTGTCCAAGACGTTGCCCCAATTCTTTTGCATCAGGTTTTTTGGCATTCACTTCTTTGCCATGCACCATAGTTTTTTTGGGTGCCTATTTTTGTCTTTTTCTGAGAAGCATATGTTTTGTGTATGTGTCTTCCTTTGGCCGCTGCCCGAAAAAAGACAACAGATCCACGCTCCTTTGGCCACTACGGTAGCACGAGCGAACCACTCTCTCGGACGCGTCAGGAAGTGCTACGGCTCTCCCATTTGCGGCTCACCAGTCGCGGCGCCAGCCTCCTACTACAGGCGCCGACGCGGGGAACCAACGCGTGGTGTGCAATAGGCCCGCACGCGTTTGCTTACAGTGAGTTTCACTAGACAAATGTTTGGGAACCCACAACTGAGGAAATGGAACAGGTGTTGTAGAACTTGAATGTAATCAATTGTCAGAGATCAATGCATATGGCTCCACTGTGGGAGCCAATTTTCTCGTACATATTGTTCGATTGATGCGATGCAAGTTATTTTGTTTTCTTCATGCCAGTCAGTTAGAGAGAGAGAGAGAGTGAAAGAAGTGAGAAGTGGCAAAGAGATAAAGGTATTGCATCAGGCTTGACCCCATCCAGAGTATGGGAAGGCTTGGAACTCTGCTCAAAAATAGACGAGATAGCTCAGTTAGATTAGGGGCCTCTACTGCCACCTCCTTTGAGAAACGATTTCGGGTGTGAGGGTCGTTGAGGCCTTCGTGTGATGTTTGTTTCATAGAGGAAGTCCAAAGGCTCTACTCTACTTTTTTCTTAGGGAAGTAAAAGTTTCCTTTCAGGTCACCATACAGACTCTTTTTTCCACAGTCTCTCCCAGGATGTTTGAGTTGATAGACTGACACCTCAGTGACTACGCCCCTAGACCCTGGACCCTCAGTTTGAATGCGTGTCGCTGGTGGAAGGCGGTGGCGGAGCTGGCTCCACGGTTGACTAGCCTCGGGGCCCAGAGATGCGCGAACAGCAAACCGCGGCAGAGTCGACCGACCAAGGAGGAGTTCCAAATCAAGATCCGTTCATGCTGAGGTTTACTGAGATTACTGAGATGGGGTTAGATTCGGTTAGATCAAGGGGACTTGATATAGGCAAGACAGAATAACAGGGCATCCAACCTTCACAGCCACATCTCAGCATCTAGAAGTGTATCAGCAATGGCAATAATTATTGAACAAAATCCATGGTTTGGGTCGCTCCCCCTCTGGTTGCTTCAGAATGGACAACTCTCCCCATCTCAATACCCACCTTGATCGCTCCCTGGATTGCCAGAGATTTGGTCCATCAGACTGTATGCCTAGAACCTGAGTGACCTCCTTTTTTGAACCACTGAACCACCATTCACCCAAAAAGATTGTCTTTTTCATATTAAAACAGGGGTCATGTCTGGGTTCGAGGTATCAAATGCCAGTGAAGTTCAGGAACAGGTAGACCTCCTGGCTCCGCTCGCGTTCGGTGCCTCTCCAAAAATAGAGGTCCAAGACATCCCTCCACCCTTGGTGAAAGTTCCAACGACCCAGTGTTTTTCTTTTTTTAAAAACCTAGCTATAGGTCAGAGTTCAGATTCTTAGGGTAGAACCCAACCCGGTGCTGCTAGTCTTCCGTTTGACCAGTGAGACTTGTCGACCGACAGGACACCGATAGGACCGACCCACCATAGGCCTCAATGGACTGCCCTTGGCGCGCTTGGTGCAGATCAAGGATCATCCGGAAGGCGCTGCGAGGGGCGAAGAATCTCTGAACTGTGCGATGCTTTGGACTGGTGGTCCGATGGTCCTTTGGCGGGAAATGGAAGGAAACGGAATACTTCTTTATTAGGGGGCATTGCGGTGTTCATGACAGTGCAATTGACGTAATACAGTAAAGAACATCCTTGCACTGCCTGAGCTTGGGTTTGGTCTGTCCTATGTGGTCCCTTTCTTGTTCTTTCAGCAGTAGCCACTTGAACAGTAGGGGTGTGCATGTGTGTAGGTTTATATAGTGAATACAATCTTCCAGTATAGAACCTCTTGGATGGATTTGGATTGGATGGACTCTTGCGGCCAAAAGAAGCAACGGCTTTACGGCCTTATGACCTGAAATGTTCCAAGAAACATCCATGATCATCCATGGATGCTTTCGTTATGTCAAAGGCCAAAATTAAATGGTATACACAGGACCAGGAACAAAACTATAACATATACTGTAAAATTTGTGTATATAAATATTTTTTTGCCAATAGGTATTAAGCGATTTGTCTTTATGGATGAATTCTCAAACATCTATACCCAGACGCTCCGTGTATGCCACTATGGCCTACATAGAGAGTGGTTCTTGGTGAATGTGGAGCGTTTTTGGGATGCATAACAAGAAAATCCTAGAACCTAGTTGACCTTTGTTTTGATAGAACAAAACAATCTTTTTGGGTGGTTGGTGACTCCATCCAAATAGAGTCACTCAGGTTGTAGAACGACATAGTGCACATGAGTGGACCCATAATGGAATAGAGAGCGCCCCAAATATTTACAGTCGCGTTTTGTTGCGTTGATGGTTTATCCACGTAGTTTGGGGACCTCTATCATACTTGCTTGGAGGATGTTTTGCCCGCGAATTGTGTCTCGAATGTCCCTTTGCCAGGTGGCAGTCCACTGGATTTGACTGACAGCATCGTGTGGTCCACAGAGATATGAGGCAAAGTTAATTGACCGGGATTGGTGTTCTTGGATCCCCAGATCGGTGAA